AGCACTCGCCTAGCACGTGTGAGGCACTGGGTTTGGTTCTCAGCACCACATAAAAATAAATAAATAAAACTTTAAAAAGGTATTGTGTCCATCTTCAACTAAAAAAAAACTTTTTAAAAAAAGTTGATGGAGCACTATTAATAATAGTCAAAAACATTACTCACATGACCATCAACAGAACACACACATGGTCAAATAGTAGGATACTACAGAACAATGAGAAGCAACTACAACTGTACCCAGAATTATGCAGGAATCTCACAATGTGTAGAGAAAGAAGCCAGATCCAAGAGAATATAATGTATGATTCTTATGTAAAATTCAAATACAGGCAAATTAATCTATGGTATTTGAAGTGGGTGCAGTGGCATAGCCCTATAATGCCAGCAACTTAGGAGGCTTAGTTAGGAGGATTCCAAGTTTAAGGCCAGTCTCAGCCACTTAGTGAGACCCCATCTCAAATTTTTAAAAAAGGACTGGGGGCATAGTCAATGGTAGCACTCCTTGGTTCAGTCTGTAGTACCTACGTCCCTGCCACACACACAAAAGGAAGAATGGTGGCTATCTGGAGGGAAGGGGCTTCTGAGGGGCTGGCAATGCTGTTTTGTGTCCTTCTCTCCCTCTCTTTCGGTCATCCTCAAAATGCTTTGCAGAGTGATAGTTTGCAGCCTCAGGAACTCCTTGCTCTTTATGAACAATGCCTTCCTGATGAAGCAGGAAGGAGAGGACACCTGCATGGTAGCCTAGGAACAGAGTGCCATGTGAGGAGGCTGAAGGGAGACTAGAGGTTTGAGACCTGCTCCCCAGGCACAACTGATGGCGATGTAACACGATGTGTTCCACAATTAACCCTACTCTGCTGCAGAGCCAGGAAGGCAGCCAGCTGGGCTCAAAGGCCCAGTTCCCCAACCTTCATTCCTCAGAGACTGTGGAGGCAGCCAACCAGGATTTAAAACTTGTCCTTACTGCCGATTGCCCCAGTGACCCCATTTCACAGCTAAGGGGAAGTTATCACCACCTGCTTTTCAAGACAGCCATAAACACAGAAAATAACTAACATTAGACTGTAAGTTCCCCAAAAGCAAGGGCTTTGTTTGGTTCATTGCTTTAGACACAGTTCTAGAAGAGTGCCTGTATACACAGAGGCTAAATAAATGTTTATTGAAAGAATGAAAACGGCAGAGCCTAGAGTAGGGGCTCCGAACTGAAAAGCAATTTTATACTAAACACTAAAATAATCATCTTCAAATTAATTCATGCTCAGGTTCCTTATTGAACTTTGACATTCCCTATGGTTAGGTTTCCATCATACCCAAAGGCTGACTGAGGATTCATTGAACCTGCTGAGGGGTCATGCTGATGTCCTGGATCACTATGTCATTAAGCTACTTCTCTCAATAGCTCACGGTTAAGGATGGATAGATCACCATAGGTCCTTCACTCCTAATCACTACATGAATCCCAGGCAAGTTCCCACCTCCCACCTCTCTGTCTTTGCTTCCAGACCACACCTGAAGAACTGTGGAACTTAGATTTGTAGGGGTCAGGGTACGGGAACATTCCTGTTCTATTTCTCCAGATTAATCTCTTACTCTTGGTCTAGTCATGCCCCCACACTGGGATCCTCAGAGACTGTATCCAAGCCAGCTCCCTCTACAGAAATGTTTTTTGGAAAACCCTATAATAGAAAGGAATAAATGATTAGGGGTTATTATTGGTGGCTGTGGGACTCAGGGTTCCAGCATTCCACTTCTTTCCATCCACTTCCTATTTTCTAGTATTAAAAAAAAAAAAATGCCAGGAAGTCAGGAATCAGAAACTTTCATTTAAATCCCCGCTGGTCCCCACAACAATGACTTCAGTGAAACTATAACCAGTTAGATTTCTTCTGTAAAATGGGCTGAGCTTCATAAGATCATCATGATTTGTGCAAATACCTCCTGGGCATCCTATTAAGTACCATATCCTAGACACATACCAAGAGGTAAAAGCCATGCCTGGGAGCCTCCAAAAAATCTGCGAGCTGTTCAGCCTGGAGAACTGAATCCATCATATGTGCCTCTGTTTCCCCACCTTTAAAACTTCTGGCAGGGCTGGGCTTCAGAGTTTCTGAAGTTCCAACTCTGAGATTAAGAGCTCAAGTTACTTAATATTTACCTTTCCTGCTTCAAGGGAATGTTAGGAGGATAAAGCAAGCTCAGAGTTGTAGAAGGACTTTGAAGGGGAAGAAACACATGCAAACAAGGCATTAATTATATCAGATAATTTCTTTGAGCTCAACTTCATAGACACCCGTAATATTCATAACCCAGGGGCAAACAACAGGGGCAACTGTTTCTTAGCAATATGAAAACTATTGTCAGCTTGGCCAATCTTGAGAGTTTGTATGTGCCTGCAGGATAACCCTTTCAACTGGCTGAATTCAGGCTAGAATGCCTGTTTTAAGAGTACGGCAGTGGGATGTTAGTTCTGCCGTGTAACTGATGTGATTCTGCAATCTGTGTATGGGGTGAAGGTGGGAGTTCATAACCCACTTGAATCAAAGTGTGGAATATGATATGTCAAGAAATTTGTAATGTTTTGAACAACCCACAATAAAAAATTAAAAAAAAAAAAAAAGAGTATGGCAGTGGGGTGGGTATATTGGTCACTGAAGACCAGGGGGAGAAATACCCATAGTTTTTGTTGAGGTCTCTCTATTTGAGTTTAAATTTTTAATTTTATTTACTTTGTAAGAGATGGGGGTCTCATTGGGCACCGGTGGCACATTCCTATAATCCCAGCAACTCAAGAGGTTGAGTGAGGCAGGAGGATTTCGAATTCAAAGCCAGCATCATCAATTTACCAAGGTCCTAAGTAACTTAGCAAGACCCTGTCTCAAAATAAAATATAAAAAGGGATGGGGATGTAGCTCAGGGTTGAAATGCCCTGGGTTCAATCCCTGGTACCAAAAAAAAAAAAAGAGAGAGAGAGAGAGATGATAGTCTCATGTTGTCCAGGCTGCCTCTGAACTTGTGGACTTGAGGGATCCTCCTACCTCAGCTTCCCAAGTAGGTGGGATTTATAAATGCACATCACTGCACCTGGCTTGGGAAATGTCAACTTATAGAGGCCAGTTGGGCCCAGAAAGTTGCCTTTAAAGACAATGTGATAGCCCATTTCATAGGAAGCGTGCCCCAAGAACCAGTCATTTTAGCAGAGAGGCAAGGTGAGCCAAGCGCATTAACCCACGCTTTGTTTTGAAACCCAGGTGTGTTCCTGTCACAAGCCCACCATTTTCACAATCATAAACCAGACATCCGAGAAAGCTGAATCTCCTCAAAAGGTTTAGAATGCCTTACGTCACTGGGAAGCACTGGCCAACTCAACCATGAAATGGAAAACTTGATCACTGCTTCCCCCCAGCAACCCCAAGCCTGGTGAAGTGACGGCTAATCTGATATTTCTTGCTTCAGTAAAAAAGATAAGGCACTGACAACACTCAAAACCATAGCCTGCTTTCAGACTAGAGCAGAGAACTTGACAATGGAGGCGGGGGAGGGGTGTGGATTTGGCACAGGTCTGGGTAGCAATAAAGCTTCCTCAGGGAGCCGGAATTGGATTTGGGGCCCTGCCCGAGTTAACATTTTTACAGGTTGGCTCAGTTGCAGTTTGTTAGCCAGCAGTAATAAACTCATGTGCAAGAATTTAAAGTTTATGAGGCATGGCCTCTTAATGTCTCTACTTGGCTCCCTACAGCCAAGGGTTTAGGAGCCTGGCGGTTAATTGTTTTGTCAACGTGCAGAGTTATTTGGGAAAAGATTTTTTTTCTTTTCTCTTTTCTTTTCTTTTAAGCCTTTTACAGACTCAAGGACACTCAATCCTCTTTTGCAGAAACAAAGGAGAGCCATTGGTCTCCCAGCACTGACACCCCACATTTAAGCAATGGGCACTTGTACCTAAGTTAAGGAGCACACTGATGAAAGTACTAGGAAAATACGAGGAGCCAGTGGTACTTAATATTTTGAAAGCCAAGTAAGTATAAATCCCTCCTCAGAGAAATGCACAGGCAAGTTCTCTGGAACTCCACCCAAGAATCCTGGGTTACACCCCTGTTTAAGAACTTGGGTTTGATCCCAGGGAGAAACCCCCATTGTCTTCTCCACTTGGAGGGAAAGAACCTCCCACCAGTTGGCAGCTGCTTGGGTCTCATGACACACTTGTTCTCCGCACCAAAGTGACCCCCCACTCAAGTTTTTGAGGGCAGGAGGAGAATAGTAATAGAAGATCAAAAATGTGCTTTGATCTTTCATCCACTGTCTCCATAGCCCAAGGCGGCTGGCTTGGGACACTACTCTCCTCCTGCACAAGTGATCTAGCATCCCACTACCAAGACTTTGGGGGATGCGGGTATCCTTTGTGCGTGGTAGCTTCAGCCCAGGTGTGCCAGGCCGTTTGCAGGCACGCTGGCCCTCCGGGAAGGGCAGGGTTAAGAGTGCATTCCAGCTGCCCGGGAAGAAGGGGGACGGGGGAGGGGAGCGCGGAGAAGAGAAACAGACCCCGTCTGTCTGTCGGAGACACAAAGCACGGTTCACAAAGGGGGCCCGAGAGGGGCGAAGGGGGCTGCCCGGGGCACGGCTCATCCCCACACCTGCGCAGGGGTTGGGGAGGAATGTGGACGGCGCATTCCTCTGCTGAGGCCAGTCGGGGAGAGCTTTCCACGTCGGGGCTGGGTGAGGGGGATCAGCCGCGAGGCATCAAGGGGTCAAGGCAGCAGTGGCTGCGGGGCCAGGAGGAGCTGGACGTTAGAGGGCGCTACGCTGTCCAGCCTTTTCCGTTAGACATTTACTCCCATCCCAAACTCCAAATGGCTTTCTGTGTCTTTCCCGATTCTGAGTAGGAGCCAGAAGTCGCCTACTCTACCCTGGACACAACGTGCTAGATCACAACGCAGCGAACCACGTGTGGTTCCCCGCACGGAGTTTCAACAAGAGCAGGATTCGGGGAGGGGGGGGTCTTACCTTTTCTCATCGCCTGGCTGGGCTCTGGCTCCTTGCCTCCAACCTCTAAGGGCACTTCAGACTCCCCGAAGCCCACCCGGCACGGCTCCGAGGCCGCGCACGGCAGCCAGCAAACCTGTGCCTGAAGGCAGAGGGGGGAAAGAGGGAGGCTGGGTCACTGCGTGCTCGGACCTGCATACCCTATTCCGAGGAATCCTTACCCGGTATCCAGGACTACTTTGGCCCCAAGGAGCCAAGCCCGGCCATCTCCCGACGCCGCTGTGGTGTGCAGACCCCGCCCGCCCTCCAGGGAGCATTCCCGACTAGGACGAGGGCAAGGCACAGGAGTACCTGCAGTAGTAGGAGGAGGGACGCAAGAGGCCCACTAAGGAACCCCATGGTTGGAGAGAGAAGGATGAAGAAGCTGCCGCGACAGCAGAACTGTGCTCAGCTTTACTCTCAGAGCCGCTTTGAGCGCCGCGACTCCGGGGAGCCGGCGGGAGGAGGCCAGGTGAGCGCAGGTAGGCGCTGATTGGTCCAGCGTCATAAGTTCCCGCCCCCTCGCAGGTGGGGCCGAAGCCGGCGTGCTTAAGGCACTCGCGAAGCCCCTCTTGTCGTCCCTGGTGACCCCCAGAGTTCTTCAGCTTTTTAGGGGCTTTTCCTGCAGGGACTCTTCAGTCTCGCAGGTCCTGGATTCGAAGGGAAAAAAGAAAACCCACTCCATTCCTCAACCTCCGCAGCATCAGAAGACAAATGACTCTTTGCCTTGCGACTACAGCGGAAAAAAAAAAAGTAGAGACACATCTGAACACTGCTGGAAACAGAGGCTCCTCATTCATGCACCCGGAGGCGCACAGTTATCCAAAGCTTTGATGGAGGCCGGGTGTGTCCCCCACACCCTACTACAGTGGAGGTTGCCCTCTCCCTTTTTTCTCCACTTCCCCTGACTCCCCTCCGCCCCCCTCCCGCCGCAACCGGGAGGACTTGGGGTTTAAAATTGGTGGTGAGGTCCCCAGGGACCACGTTACCGAATCTGATTCTACTTGCAGGAGAATCTTTACTTCCGTTTTACAAATATACAAATGGAGGCTGGGAGAAAAGGGCCCAGAGTCTGGAAGCCCTAAGAGTACCAAAGGGCGAGAGGTTGGTTATTAGTGATTGACCCACCATCTCCAGCAACATCACCCTAATATAAATAGTGCTTTCTCAATTTTATGTAAAACGTAAATTTTTAAACGCGGTTTTTATTGATCTGAAATACTGGACATAATCTACTAAAAACTGTTTGCTGTGCAGTGATTTCTCTCTTCAAAGATCTCTCCTACACTCTTGCTGGGAGATAAATGGAGCAGCTGGGACTCGTTCCTCTACGTTACTCTTTCCACTACGTTAGACATGAAGGGCTTTCCTCTTCGACGCACTCAAGTGGGTTCTGGGCATAGACAGGATTCTAGGCTCAGTCACTCCACATGTCCTTTCCTCAGCGAGACAAGCTTTCCCGACTAGTCTCACACCCTAGTTCCTTGAACCTCCCTCCCCTTCCCCTGCTCCCTTGAGAACCCCAAGATGATGCCTCTTCATCCCCCGCACCCCACTCAAATTTAAGGATTTGAGGAGGGGACTGGGCAGTTCAATTATAGATTCTCTGGCCTTCAAGGACTAACTTGATAAGCTACCCGTCCTTCTCACAGGCCTCTGGCCAAGAGGCACACAGAGAGGAGTCCTTCCTCTCTCTTGCCTGGCCTTGGCTCTGTGCCCACACTGTCTGGGTTCGAACCAGGGCCCCACCACTTACTAGTGCTGTAACTCAGTTCTCCATCTGTCAGTGGAGCTATTACTCCATTGTAATAATGTCGTGATGCCTTATAACAGCTACTCTCTAAAGGTTTGCACTAGGAAATTAACAGGTTTAAAACACTAAGCTCAGTACCTGGCAGAGAGCAAGAGCCCAATGTTGCCTGGTATTCTAGGATCCGGCTCATTTGGCCTCCTCCGCCTTGCCAGCCGTTTCTCTCTGGGCTGGAAGAATTCTGCGCCTCTCTAATCCCGCTCTCCGTGTGGGGGCGCTTTCCAAGTCCAAGGGGAGCCGGTGCTTAGCGATGGCGCAGGCCCAGCTATCCTCACCTCGCAGGTTCCATCGCGCCCGCCCGGAGCCAGGCGAGGCCATTAGGCGGACAGTTAAACACAAACGAGCCTCGGGATACAGGTCCTAATTAAGTAAACACCCGGCTGGAGGGCTGTAGTGCGCGCTCATTTCCGCCTCCTTCCAGGGCACTCAGCATTCCCGGAGCGCGGGGCGGGGGAGCGGGCAGGGAGAGGAGGGGAGAAATTGAGAGTAAGCATTGGAGCCTGCCACTTGGACCACACCGCCATCTTCTCCGTAGCTCCCCTAGTCGATCGTTCATTCACATTTATTCATTTAACTGAATGAATTTCTATTCTGAATTTCAGTTAAATTTGCTGACAGCCTGCTGGGTGTCAAGCCCTGGGGATGCATTAGCGAACAAAACACACGTCCTTGCACCCTTGGTCTTTCCATCCCAGAGTGTAGAGGGATGTAAACAAATAAGTAAATATGTAATAGGTTAGGAGGTAATATGTACTGTGTAGAAGAATAAAAACAGAATGAGAAGTGCGGATTCACCAATAGGTGGTAGGGCTGAAAGCAGAAAATAAAGCCATGCAGCAGGTGTTGCCAGGAGGGTCTTGCAGGAAACAGAATTCTGTTTGGGGAGTTCAAGTCCTCTTGAAAGGTCCAAAGGAATGGCAGGGTTCAGCCTGGGCAAAACAGTCAGGCTCCTCTTAAAAAAAAAAAGTGGGGGTAGGAATTAGAAGTGGTATTAGAAGTTCAAGGATCCAGCAGAGGTAGTTGGAGCATGGGAACCTTCCCCTCTTGAAGGCAGCTATGGTGGAGAAAGGCATCTCTACTGCCCAGAGCAGAGAGGATGCAGGGAAAAAACACCCAGCATCTCTCTCCTCTTGCCCTTCTCCTGGTGTGAATCCACCAAACCAACCAGAAACTTGAGAGCAAGAAAGGCAGGTGATGGAGTCTGAGAGGTCATTTTCCCAAGGCTTTCTTTCTCTTTTTCTTTCTTTTATCTTCTTCTTCCTTCTCCTCCTTCTCTCTTTTTTTGTGGTGTGGAACCCAGGGGCTTGCACCTGCCAGACAAGTGCTGTACTACTGAGCCACAGCCTCGCCCTTGCCACCAAATATTCTAGTGGATGGGATTCAGGGAGCAAGAAAGCCCAGAGGTCTGGCCAAGACAAGGACTTTTGAACAAGGACTCCAGGCAAGCCATGGAACAAGCCCCAGCTAAGCACTTGGAGGGAAAGTATTCCAGGCAGAGAAAATGTGGCAAAATGCCTGGGGCAGCAGATTACAAGGAACAGCAAAAAAAAGCTACTGTGGCTGGAGTAGAATGAGCAAGTAGGAAATGAGTCAGAGAGCTTGGGAGGATAAGAACCAAATCTTGTAGAGCCCCACAGATCATTGTAACTTTGGCTTGTACTTTGAGAAAGGAGGAAGCCTCTGTTGGTTTTGAGTGGAGAAGTGCTGTTGAGAATAGACTTCTGGGGACCAGGGCAGAAGTCTGTTGGGCTTTCTTTCAAACAGCTGGGTAAATGATGGAATGGCTTGGCTTGAATTTGTCATTTGAAGAGGATAAGAAAAAGAAAGATTTAAAAAAAAAAAAAGAAGAAGAAGAAGAGGAAAATCAGAGCCAGACAAGGTAGAACACGCCTGTAATACCAGCTACTTGAGAGCCCGAGGTAGGAGGAATGCCAATTCACAACCAGCCTGGGCAATTTAGCAAAACTCTGTCTCAAAAAAAAAAAGCTGGGGATGTAGCTCAGTTGTAGAGTACTTGCCTAGTGTGTGCAAAGCCCTAGGGTGGCATCCCTTACACAGTAATAAATAAATAAATATTCTAAAAATATTTTTTAAAAAAACAATAGAATTTTACCATATGATCCTCCAGTTCTATTTCTGGGAGATAAATTACCCAATAGAAGTAAAAAGAGGGACTTGAAGAGATACTTGAAGAGAACATAGATACTCTATGTTCATCATAGCAACGTATTCGTAATTGCGGAAAAGTGGGAGCAATTCAAGTGTCCATCAACGGAGGAAGGGATCAACCAAATGCTTAACAGATACAGATTTTTCATTTTGTAAGATGAAAGAGTTCTGTGGACAGATGCTGGCAACAATAGTAACATATGAATGTACTCAATGCCACCGAACTGAACACACTTTAAAATGGTTAGCATGGTGTATTTTGAAGGTATTGCTGATTGACGGTGGTAAGTGAAGGGCAGAAGGATTAGGGATGACTCCAGTGTTTTGGCCCTGAGGAGTCAGCAGGATGGCAATGTCATTTCCTGAGATGGGGAAGACACCTATAGTAGGCACTGTCAGGGCCCCTGCTCAGAGTCCCTGGGATCCCTTTTATGGTTTCTGAGCTCTCGCTCTTGGCTTGTGTGCTGATGTTCATACAGCCTGCCCTGTGACTCTTCTGTGGCCTGGACTCTGGTTACTAGAGTCCCTTTGCCTTTGCAAAGAAGTACCCAAAAGTTTAATTCTTCAGTCCATAGCCAGTGGCGCAGGAGTGTGAGAGCCCAGCTTTCTCCCCTCCAGGTGAACAACTTGGAAATGTAACTTGCACTCCAGAGCTGTGCTATGAGCTCAGGCTGAAGCTACCCAATGTGGGACCGGGTCTGCAGTCATACCTTGTGTGATCTCTCCTTTCTTTTATTCACCAGTTTCTTTTTGGAGCACATCCTTAATAAGCTACTCTGGGTACATGAACCGTTGGCTTCTTGGAATCCCATTGCAGGCAGGACATGCTTGGGATGCGGGGAGATCAGAATTTCCATTTGGGGGCATGTTTAGAGATGCTTAACAGTGGCATGTTGAGGAGGCTGAGGTTGCATGCACCAGTTCAGGGCAGACATCGGGCATGAGGATACTATTTTGTCAAGGCATGTCAATTCTGGGTCAACTTGTGGTGGAAGGTTTTCCCATCTGAAAAGAATCCTGGGCGTAAAGGCCTTCCCATCTGTGTTCGTCAGTTTTTCTGTTACTATAACAAAATACCTAAAATAAACAACTTATAAAGAGAAAATGTTTATTTTGGTTCACAATTTTGGAGTTTCAAGTCCATGATCTATTGGCACTGATGCTGTGGGCCTGTAGGGAGGCAGCACATCATGATGGGAACACAGGCAGAGCAAAACCCACTTTGTGGCCAGGAAGCAAAGAGAGGAAGAAGGTGGGGCCTGGATCACACAGTACCCTTCAAGGGTATGTCCCAATGATCTAAAGACCTCCTACTAGGTTTCAGCACTTTCCTATAGTGCCACCCTAGGGACCAAGCTTTAACACACGGGCCTGGGGAGAC